TCATAGTCAACGATTAACTGAGATCTATAAAGAATATAAGAATCCATATTGTTCCATTTGTTGATTTGACTTGACTTTGCAAAACACGGCCTTAGAGGACCTCTTCCCACAAGATATCCTTCCAAAGCTTGTGATACTCCTTACTTAATAGATAGAAACATAGGCATAACTTATCATCAATATCAATTAAGAAATAAAACAGGGAGAGATAGATGATCTGTAGGTGTTCCCCTGAAATAAAAAGCCACTTTTTTTTTAATATGAAAGATATCACCAAACATTTGGGTGGCTGAAATATGAGACAGGTTGGTTATACAATGAGAGTGAGAGATGGCTGGAATGCAGCATTGATATCTACAAAATATTTTTTAAAATTAGAGACCTCTTTTAATGGAGGTATCTTTGGAAGGACAGACAGAGGAATTGCATAGAATGAGATGTGGATTGATTGTGATCCCTACTGGCAGAGGGATTTCCTATATCTGTGAGATCCCAGAGCCACTGGTGTACTGAAGGAAATCAGTTTAATCTTACCAGAATCAGCCCATTGTTTTATCCTGTCTCAACTTTGAAAAATCTCAGTTCTGTTATGCACTTCATTAGCTATCTCTTTCTTCTTCACATCACATGCGATTCTGTTTAAAAAGCCACTTCCTCCCTCAGAATTTTTATCTATGATTTGGATGAAGGGAACAAGGCTCAGGACAGATCCCTCGGGCACCCTCTACAAACTCAGAGCTCGGGGACAACGTTCCAGTTGCCTCGCCCTGCATTGCTCTGGAGCTACTTAGTGTCTTTGTAACCTTAGATAAATCACTTAAACTCTACTGATGATTTCTCCCCACCTTTGTCGTGAAAAATAATGCACTTGACCACCCCACCATATGTCTTTTTCTCCCCCATATCATGTTTCTTCCTCTGCTTTATTCTCCCAATCTTCCCAGTCTTTCTCCTCTGCTCTTTATCAAAATGTGCTCTCAGGAAAAAAAATCTGGAACTGATTCATAGGTGAGTGCATAAGTGACTGATAAGGTATAAGCCTTCTGGAGTGGAATGGCCTCTTTAAAGTCACAAGAAAAATGAAGGGATTGCTAATGGTAGAATTTCAGTCCAAAGCAAACTGTCCCAGACCTCCCAGGGCAGTGACAGGAAGGCATTGGAGCCTGCCCAAAGGACTAAAATCTGAGAATTTGTCCTGGAAAGAAGAGAAAAGACTGAGAGAGAATATGTAGAATGATGGTGATGTCATGTAATGGAGAATGCAGAAAGTGTCTTTCCCCAGAGCTGTAGGTTTTCCAGACAATGGCTTCTCACACTTGATCTTTACCTTCAGAATGCCTAATGCAAGCAAGTGACCACAAAGTCCATGAGTCCCAAATGATGGTGAGCCATGTCCTTCAGAGTGAGACCAAAATGTTTTTGGGGAGCAGGAGGGGGGAGGGAAGGATTGCTTTAGACTCCCCCTTCTTTCTTTTCACCAGGGTGCCATAGATTATTCCAACTGAAATGTGTTTCTGTTAAATTTTGGAGCCTAAATAAAGCCAGATGTACCTAGGTAGCCAAATATCCAGAAGAAACAGTGATTTAATGTCCAAACTATGCACGGATTAACGTGCAATAAACTTGGGCTGTGGAGTTTGAAGCCCGGCCTATCACAACCCGCCTTTCTGCTAATGACTTCAGCAGAAATGCCCCAGTGGGTTTGCCAGTTGCATTCATGACCTCTTACATTCCTACAGGTAAAAACATTTCTAGAACTAGTACTGTGTTATGAAAAGACCACTGAGCCTGCACTGGGAATTGGAGGCAAGGACGAAGTAAGAGTAAGGATCAGAGTGGTTTCCTCTGGTCTACTCTCTGTCATTGACTTGCCGTGTGTTCTGGGGCAAGTCACTTTCTCTTTGGACCACAGTGGCCTCATCTGTAAAATGAAGAGGTTGTTCTACAGCAAAGATCTAGCTATTTGGACCTGAAGATAGGTCCTTATTGATTGCCTAGTCTAACCCTCTCATTTTCCAGATGAACATACTGAGTCCAGAGAGGTGCAATGGTTTACTTAAGGTCACACAGGCAGAATTAAAGGATTATGGATTCAGAGCTGGAAGATGGTCCTCCAAAATGATCTCTTCCATCTTTCAGAGGAGGAACTGAAGCCCAGAAAGGCCAAGTGACCTACTTAAGGCCATGCATGCAATAAGTAGTAGAGATGGGATTTGGACCAGGGGAAATGCCACATTATCATGATGTCATCGGTCTTCAAAAACGAAGGATAAACAGCAGCAGCAGCTGTACTCACGTCGCTGCAAAGTAGTAAGTAGCTGACCTGTGATTTCTAAGACGTAGAACTTCAGGGTGGAATGAATTCGAAGTTATAGGGATAGAGATTGGCCCTTCTATGGAGGGAGTTTATAATCTGAAAGATCTAGCTAGAGTATTGAAAAGTTGTAGTTTACCTAAGGTCACACAGACAGCATATGCCAAGGGCAAGACTTGAACCTGAGCCTTCCTGGATCCAAGGCTAGTTCTCTATCCACCATGCCTAGGTGCTTCTCATAGGACCATCAATCTAGAAAGTTATCTAGAAGTCACCTTTGAGATCATTGAGTCGGAAACTAAAACCCAGAGAGGTATCTCTCAGATCACAAAAGTAATAAGTAGCAGCAAAAGGATTTGAACTCAGGCCCAATGACTCCAAATTCAGCGCTAGTCCAGTCCTCTTATTCTATACATGAGGAAATGGAGGTCCGTAGAGGTTCAATAACTTAACTAAGGATATGTAGGCACTGAATAACTATAGTAGTGTAACTAGGATAGGGTCACTGGAGCTTTGTCCCGAAGTTCTAAATTTAAAGGGGATGCCAAGAGGACTTTTAATCCTCCCACAGAATAGAGATTATTTGCTCTTGTGTATTCCGTTCTTGTGTATTTCTTCCCAGGCACATTACTTCTAGATCAACATAGGAGAAGCAGGTCTTCTGAAATCACATCCAATGTTTTTTCTACTAAACGTTTTGCTTTTGTAGACTGTTAGACTAATTCTTTAGGGTATAGGTGGGGTGGAGATTAGGAAGGAGAAATTTTTGTTGTTGTTGTTCAGTCATTTCTGTTGTTTTGGACTTTCTGTAATCCTACTAGGGGTTTTCTTGGCAAAGAATCTGGAGTGGTTTGCCATTTCCTTCTGCAGCTCATTTGACAGATAAAAAAGCTGACGCAAACAGAGTTAAGTGACTTGCCCAGGGTCACACAGCTAGTAAGTGTCTGACACCAGAATTAGACTTAGACAGATGAATCTTTCTGACTCCAGGCCTGGCTCTCTATCCACTGAGCCACCTAGTTGCTCCAAAGGAGAACTAGATTATGTTTTTTTTTTTTAATTGAGCATGGAAATATGGTAGCTGGTGTTCAATGTAGCTCATGATGACTGTAGATAGGGTAAAAAGGCATTTCTCCATATCATCCTGACTTAAGTAACCAAATATTTGAAATCCATCTTAAAAAAAAATTGCTAATCATTTCAGTTAAGCTGAATCCAGTATTCTTTCCCTAAATGGAAAATGAAGATAATTGGTGTCTAGTCCCAGCTTTGGCACATTAACTAGCAGTTAATTTAGTTAGTTGGACAATTTCCTTTCTATCTCTGGGCTTCAGTTTCCTTCTTAATAAAAAGTCAATGTACGTATGTATGGATGCGTGTATATATGTATGTATTATGTATGTGTATCTGTAGTTTACATCTTAGAATATAGAGGTGTGGTAGCACAGCAGCTGGAAGGCTGGCCTTAGAGTTACAAAGACCTTGGGGACCAGGAGATTTTCTAGGTAAATTGTAGATAATAATGAGAACTGGAATTTTATAGTGAGTGCTTTGGTTTGCAGAGTGCTTTGCACATATTATCCTGTCTAATCCTCAAAACAAGCCTGTGAGGTAGGTGCTATAGATATTACTCATCGTGTTTTACAGAGAGAGAATGAAATCTCAGAGAAGTCAAGGTCCTTGTCCAGCATTGCATAGCTGGTAGTAGAAGCCAGATTTCACCCCAGGTCTTTATGAGTCCAAGTACAACATCCTCCATGATCCCATAATGCCCCTCTGAATGGATGAAAAGATTTGTATCTGTGGAAGTTCATCCACCAGAAGGTCCCCATGCTTAAAGAAATCATAGATCTGGACTGAAACCCTTCCAACACATTTCATTCTCATTCAGTGGATGTCTCAGAGTCAAGACTGCAGTGCCCCATTGTCTCTGTTGGACAGCATGCCCCCTTTTCTTTTTTTGACAATTTCTCAAATTGCTGACCCGGTCCCCAGAGAAAGGAGTGGGGAGCTTAATACTTTACAACTTGAACGTTTCTTTAAACTGCAGGAAGAAAGACAAAGGGGCTGTTGAATTTATTGGGGAGTAGACTCTGGCAATTTCTCCCTTTACTTCCAATCTCTGGGCATAGATGCTGCTAAATTAGATTTGGGGTGTGCCCAGTCTGACCCCTGTTGTAATTCATGAAGTCGGCAGGGGATGGTTGTATATGTTTAATATCCAGATGTATGTATGTTTATCCCTTGATGAATCCCAGATGTTCTAAAGACACCATTGTTCCCTCCCTCTTCCACTCTTCTCACCTCTCCCCATATATACCCTGCAGCCAAGAAGAGTTTCTTAAGATTAAAGGGGTTTAATTTCCTTGGGGTTGCTAGAATCGCAAAGTAGGATGGGCCTTTCCCTCATGAACAGTGGAACCCCTGGTAGCCTCAAAATCCTTGATGTTTTATTAGGGTTTTGTGGGAGAAGGCGGATTAGAGTCACAGGGTAAGCACGTTGTCTGTCTCCCTACTTCAATGTAATTGGCAAAACTGCTCGGCTGCCATGGAAAATTAAATGTTACTTTCAGACACAGATATCCCTGTAACCTTTGTAAAATTGATTTTTATTTTAAATGAGTTCTCCTGAGGTTAATCCAGGAAGAAAAAAAAAAGACCATAAGAAGATGATGGTGCTGAGCTCTGTTAATTGGACTCTCTCCCACTGGACTGCTCCTGCTGCAGATTTCCAGTGGTTCTGGCCAGGACCAAAGCTGTCTGGTGCCATCCATCCACCCCGGGTGAACTCTCATGTTCAGAGCTGAATCTCAGACTTTCCTCCTTACACATGGAAGGCATAATCTGTTAGTTTAATTGCCTAATCATAGGATCATTGATCTCCAGCGAAAAGGGACCTTAGAAACCATTTAAATACAACCTTTTCATTTTACAGAAAAGGAAACTGAAGCCCATAGACATGTCTTCTCCAACAAGCATTGTGCATCAGAGGTGGCATTTGAATTCAGATCCTCTGGTCTTTTCATTGCACTGTGGACAGATCACAACCTCTCTGTAGCAAGACAGAGACTAGAATTGAAGTCTCATGACCTTCAACCAAATAGCCTCCTATACCATCTTAGCTCTCAAATGTGGGGTTATCTATTTTGTTTTTTTATCTTTTTAAAATTAATTTTTAATTTATGAAATAAAACAAGCATTTCCATAACATAGCACAATTTTTTTAAAAAAATGATTGCACATGAAACTGCAAATCTATTACGTACAACTTGCTATTCCTTTTAAATATATAATAAGATTATCATGTAAATTTCTTTTTTCCCCTCTTTTTCTTTTCTCCCTCCCACCCTAGACATAGCTACCATTAGACACAAATAAGTATATATACATATAATATATATTATATATGTATATACACATACATATACACATATACATATATACACTCTATTTAAAATTATTCTATGTATACTAATATTTGATGAAACTGATTACCAGAGCTATAACTGGCCAGCCCAGAACATAGAAAGGCAGTGGGAACAGTCTCAGAGTCCAGAAAGTGAGGAAAAATAAGGTCTGGAAAGGAAGGAGTCTGAATCTAATAAGCACCTCTGTGAAAGTCTTTTATCTGTTGGAGAGGAGTGTGTGTGTGTGTGTGTGTGTGTGTTTATGTATACACAAGCATGTGTGTGTGAGCATACCCCTCACATGGGGATTGGAAACTTGGGTAAGAAGGAGAGAAATCCAGTCCCCTGGAGCCCTCAAGAGCTCATAAGACACTTTGGATCCCTAAGTGCTTGTCCCGTATAAACGCATCTCAACTGGCTAATTAGGAGGGGGAAATTATGGCATGGCTGTGTGTGGCAGGGGGAGGGAGGCGGCTGGGAACATCAGAGAACATCATTTAGAGGGAATAACTGGGGGAAATGAGCAACTGACTCAAACCTTACGATTCCCGCTGTGGCTCATTTCCTAAACTAGTATCTGCTGTCTGCTCCAACATCTGTTTCGTCGATTTCTCGGCACTAGGCAAGGGTCCTGATAGCTGGTTTTGATTTGGTTGGCATTGTTTAAATTTACACTTAGATAGTTATTGTTTAGCATCAGTGATGTCGTGGGCTGGTGTTGGAGGCAATCAAAGACGTTTACTTTGGTGATTCAGAAGCCTCAGGACTGAAGGGGAGAAAGAAAAGATCCTCAGCCTCTTTGATGAGGAAGCTTGGCATTTAGGTTATGAGCAAACCCCCGCTGCCCCGCAGTCCAGGGATGCTTTGAAGTCCAAGAGGGCCCCACTTGGAGCAGGCCTTTGCTCACAGTAGTTAAAGGAAAAAGACCAGAACCCTGCTCTCTGCTCCAACAGGAGATCATGATTTCTTTAGGGCTCTGGCGCAGTATCATAGGGTTACAGATCATTTAGTCCACAGGCACTTAACCTGGGGTCCGAGACCTTGGGGATGCTTGACTTTGGATGGAAAAGAGCATGACATCTTTATGTCAATAAAATTGATTTCCATTGTAGTCTTGTCTATTTTACTTTATACATCTACAGATACGATTCTGAGAAATGGGTCCACAGGCTTCACCAGCCTGCTTATAAAGGTCCATGACACAAAAAGGCATGAAGAATTCCTGAAATTCTAGTCATTTTACAGAGGTAAAAAAGTGAAGCTCAGAAAGGTCAGAGGATTTGCCCAAAGTCTCACTGGCAGTCAGAAGATGTCAAGATATGAATCCAGGGCCTCTTGACTCTTGCTTAAATTCTTTTTACCTTTGCTTGGTACAGGGAGAAAGGAAAAGTCCCATTCACAAATCATTGTACTCCACCCCTCACGCCTCAGCCACCTGCCACTCTCATGCAGAATAAGTAGCAGCAGAAACAGTGAGTGCTTCCAGCCGTTGGGGAGGATTGACTGGTGAACAAGGAGGCAGAGGAAGCGATCTCTGGTCTGGTGTGGTTGGGTGTGGCAAGAAGGCTATCTTCCTCACTTCTTGGACAACAATATCCACTTAACTGTATTCCCCAGTGCCTGAAGTTGCACCCTCAAGGACAATTTCTTTTGGGTCATCCTTTCCATCATCTCTAAATAACAACAGTAATGATTGCAATATGACAATTGATTTTTTTTAATCACACTTTCAAAGTTTGCAAGGCATTTTAAATGTATATATATATATATGTGACACATGTATATATGCACATATACACATATGAGATTGTATCAATATAATATATAATGGATGATTACATATAATATATGATATAATATATCAGATCAGATATATTATGTATGAGATTATATATAACACCAAAATATAGATGATTACATATAATACATGCAATATATTATATATGATATATATATAATACATGTAATATATAACATATTATATAAATATATGTTATGTGTATTACATATATCATATACATATATAATATGTAATCATCTATTATGTTATATTATATATAATCTCATTGTACATAATATATAATCTCATCTATTGTATATAATCATGTTGGATATATTTTATATAAGTTTATATTTATAAATATATGGTTAGTAATATTGATATTACATATCAATATAATACATGCTTATGTTTTTATGTATACATGTGTATATATGTATATCATCTATGTATATATGTATGTATATGGAATTAAAAGTCATGATGCTACTACATGTATGATTTATATGATCTTGAGCCAGTCACTTCACTTTATTGGGTGTCAGTTTCCTAATTTATTGTGAAATAAGGATGGCCGAGGTCCCCCCAGTTTGGGGGCTATGAGTGTGTATTATTCTATTATTATCCCCATCGTACAGAATGTACATTGTAACTAAGGAACAGAAAGAATTAGTGACTCACCCACTATCACACAGCTAATTTATCAAAGGTCCCTTTCTATCTCTTAGAGATCATCTATCATTTTATAAATGAGAAAACAAAGGCCAATGGAGAGGTGACCTGTCCAATGTGGACAGTTAGTGGCAAAGCCGGGGCAAGAACAAAGTAGTCCAAGTATCAGTCTATTCCCTTTTCCATTACACCATCACTTTAAAATGTAAATGCATCTGGGAAGATAACACATTAATCTGTCAGTCAGCAACCACTAGGCCAGCTAAAAGCCCAAGAGATTTGTAACTAGTCAGGTGTATAAAATAAAGGCAGGCACTTGGAACAAAGGATTGGAGGAGGAGGACAATGCCTTGAGGAGGCTCCACCTAGGTTAATTTTCTGTTTTTGCATTTCTACCTCAGTTTTGTTTTACAGGTAACCCAAATCATCATTAGTGGAGGGAAAGGGCTGAGTAAAATTCTGGGTTCTCAGACCTTGTTGAAAGATAGCCTAGCCCACAGAAATCGTTTTTGGTTTGTAATCAGGAATTGGCAGGCATTAAAGGGTACTTTCTAACTCTAAGTTAGGTAAAAGACTGGGGCAGAGTTGCTGGCCTTGGTCAGAAGACCACAGAGATTTAAATACCAGTTAAATGGCTTTAGGTCCTAATTAAGTAGTTGATTGTTCTCTGTTGAAAAGAGTTTGGCTCCTGGAAGGGAAGAGAGAAAAACTGCATAGCTAGAATTCTGGGAGTTCTTGGATATTTCCTCATGGAGAGGAATCAAGTGAGGATTTTTTTCCTGGTCTGATGATTGGATGTGTGAAGAGATTGCCTCCGTCACTGGGAAACCTTAAGCCTTTGGGTTCTAGACTCCAAGGAAGATGTCACAACCTTCCACTTAGCTTATGGAAAAGAGGTAGCACCTCACTTGAGTACTTCAGGTGAAGCTCAGATTTTGCTAGCAGAGAAAAGGTGTGCAATCGTGGGGCCAAAGGAGATGTGATCAAAAAGGCCAGAAAAACTATAACTTGTGAGACTACGTGAAGCTAGCAAGAGTGAGGGCCTGTACAGACTACAAACCTGGGAGACTATATAATACACCCAGCAGGCATCTGGCCCAGGGATGGTAATGTGATGACATTACAAGGAGGCATGAGTTATCCCTTCCCCTATATTCTTTTGGCACGACCATTCTTCCCACTGGTGGTGCATTTGTGGGAGCACACACTTTATTTAGGCTTATGGGGAAAGTGTTCTATTGCTGTTTTTCTTACCATGGTATTTCATTAAATGTCATTTCCTTGAACTAATTATGCCCTCTGACTAATTAATCAAAGTAAGCCTATAGGCAGGGACTGATAAGCTATGGCTTTAAGTGAACGTGGAACCACTAAATATCTTGAATCTGGAGTGACAGGTCTGTGCATATCTATATGCCTCCAGGTACATAGATATTTCTTCCTTATTGTTGTGTGGGAGACATAAATAGCAGTAAGACAGTATCTGCCATCTAAGAATTTGTAGTCTAGTTGGAAAGATGAGATCTATCTATCATCTATCTATCTATCTATCTATCTATCTATCTATCTATCTCTATCTACCTATCTAATCTATCTATGTCTATCTCACATATCTACATCTATTTGTCTAGATATCTATCTAGTTTACCCAATTAAAATATAGAACATATATGTAATATATATCACATGTGTACACAAACGCTTACATATACATACATATGTGCATATAAACACATACACCTAAGCTCAGAATAGAAAAGTTAAAAACCAACACAATAGTACATGACTAGCCATAAGACAGAACACAATTAATTGCTGAATGAGTCATTCAGTTGATAAGTGCTAAATTCTGAGGAGGGAATGATTCTGTGGACTGAGATTGTCAAGACAGGGGAGGAACATTTTCTGAGGTATAACAAGACTAGAAAGTTAGGCTAGAGTCAGATTGGAAAGAACTTATCAAT